CCCCTCTAGCCTGCACCTCACCTCACACCCACATGTACTGCTAGGTTAGGCTTACCCGCTCCTACTAAGTCTTTTACATATTTTTGTTTTGAGTTTAATCTGAATGAATGTTGTGACTGAAAACATGGATTCTACACTTTACAAGAGGATTGTCCCGTGGTTTTCCATGTAAGTTGCCTTAATTCTGTCGTACCAACGCATCCGAGGTCTCTGTGCCTTACCGAACAGAGCCCGAAATGGCCTTTTCAGCTTTGACTTCTACATTCTAATTTGCTGTGCTTTGCCAATTCTTACATGATTTTATCCTTTATGCACTATCTTTTGTTATGAACATGGGGACGTCGGTCGTTGTCCCTCTTGTTCTTTACTTATGAATGGGGACTTGTCTTTCTTTTCTCAGGGATGAATGGAAATTGGTATACAATTTGGTGTATTCGGAGAGTCATGAAGACCAGAAATGTGGTTTGAATCGTTTAGTTGGCTGGAAAGCAAGGTTTGTATTGTATTAATATAAATGAAATAAAATAGTATATCTTTAATGTATGGAGGATATTTAATTTTTGTCTAGGTGCCAGTCATTGCCACCAGCAGTGGAATGTACACTTTGTATTTTTCAAGTTCTTATTGAGGACCCTGACCATCTATCTGAAAAATGTGTTTCTGTAGCCATAGAACAGCAGCTTCGTCTCATGTACTCTACTGCTGTCATGAGGTTTGTAATATTAATTATTAAATTTCGTCTAACATATACACCATCTTGATTGTTCTAACTTTGTTTTGTTAGATTCCTCAACTTGATGCTCGAAGTTCCCAACCAGGAAGATCTCAGAGGATCAATGTATAGCAAAGCCGAAAATCTTGGAATTCCAGAATGGATTGTGAACCTCCGTCATGACGCTGCTCATGGCGTGTCTCTCCCAGATTTAAGCTTACTGAGGGCTGCATCTGTATTTATATCCAAGTGGTTGCACGTTAGTAACACATAGCTTCTTCTAACATGAATATGTCTTATTCCATTTAAAATATATTTTTTACAGTTTTGCGGACAATTGCTTTAGGATTGTATTTTATTTATTTTAGGAATACTATTGGGAACAAGAATCCCAAATCGTAAGTGATTGGCATGTCACCCCAGCAGTTGTATACACCTTGTCAGCAGATGAGAGAGAACTTCGCAGTATCATTGAATCATGGGAAGCACTCAGCTTGTATGATCTAGCTGGTTTTGAAAACATGAGTCAAATTCCAGATAATGACTTGAAGTGGGTATTCCAGTGTGGTCTTCAACTACACGTTATGTAGACACATCTCAATTTTCTTATGCATTCACTTGGTTCTTCTTTTCCACAGGAGTTCAGTAAAATCTATTCATGAAATGCTGAAACAGGGGAATAAACAAGAAGTAGAAGTATGTTATCCCACCACCCAAAACTGTCTATCAAATGAATTACTGTAGAATATTATTTTCTATCTCTTTGCTACAGGTTACAGTGAGACGATCAAAGGTATCAACTGCCTTATCACTTGTACTTCGTAAACTTGTTCGTTTCTTCAAAAGTAGATCTGGGACTATGGACAAGGCTTCACTTCTGGCCGATATAGTTGTAGGCGGAGATTTTCTTCTACCGTCTGAGAGCTTAATGCAGATACTCAAACCAAGTGGGAGTGAGCAAGGTCAACATTTCTTGAAAAAAGAAACAAAACACAGAATATTAAAACATATCAGTATATTTTAACTATAATTGTTTTCCCTGCAGGTATTCTGCTGGAACTCCCTCCTGAGCTTTCAAAGTGTTGTTCGGATTTTATGAATACTCTATGGACCCTAGGTGCTATACCTGCTCTTGTTTTAAAGCTTATTTCTTTTTCTATGAGCCCAACTCAGACAGACATACGTAGAAGTGTTGCAGCATTATGGGTGCAAAAAGTTTTAGCATCATGTGTTAAGGTGATTTCCGCAATATTTATATTTGTGCTATCCCTTTAGTTGATTGTAGCTTACTTTGCTTTGCATCTCTGTTTTAGGTGCGAGAAGCACGGAAGGTACGATTGGCCATTCGTGATAAGTTGGACTTCAAGGATATTGCCCAACATTACAAGTCTTCATTACCTGGTGAAAGTAGAAATGCTGTCTTGACTGCACTTGCTTTTGCTGCTGTGGAGAATCAGAGACCAGATTTGAAAGTTGGTTATTCTTGGAAGGTATCTCAAATTCCTAGTGTGTTAACATCTATGGATCTTATAAGACAAGCAGTCTTTCCACCTTCCAAATTTAGCAGCTTTTACCTTCCTTGGTGTGTACCTTTGTTTTTCCTTGGTTCTTTTGAGTGAATTAGTCATGTTTTAAAAAAAATGTATTCTTTTCTTTGCAGTGCTATGGAACTTGTAACACCCCGTATGGCCATACAGTCCAGGATGCAACTTATGGATTTAATAAATAACTACTCTAATGATGAATCAGATATTTTAGAATTCTCCGAAGGAGAAATTTCATCAGTCAGTGAGTTTATAAACAGAGTTGCTGATAAAGATAAAACCCAACTGTCAATGACTGAACCAAAACAGAAGTCTGCGTGGTCACTTAGTCAATGTTAGTACTTGGTGGTTTTAGTGTTCCGTATTTTATGCATTTGTTGTAATGAGTATGTTTTTGAACTAATGAGCTTGTTTGGTCTAGGTCATTTGGAGTGGGGCAAAAGCCCTCTAGGTGTTTTACCATGGCAACGTGAGCAAGCTAAGTATAGCTCTGTGCCTGAGTCGTTCATGTTAGGTAAATGGAACAGTGCGCCAGAGAAAAAAGAGACTGCATGTGAGGAGAACTGTTCCAATGATTTATCATCTATTCATCGTATTAAGGCGGGCCGAGTCATGAAAACTTATGTAAAAACTATGACTCCCAAGAAAGTATTGAAAACTAGGAGTGCAAGTCCTAATCAGAGAGCCATAAAATTTGTCTCATCCTTATATCAAAATAACTTTGTGTCACACAAACACTGATAAGTTACGGACTTTATCATGTACTGTGCCTTAAATGCAAACATTTGGTTTCCTATGTTTCTTGTATTTCTTTGCTTTGAGGATGATATAATTTCAATTGTATATTGTGCCTCAGGGTTTTGAAAACATAATGTGTACCCAGGATAATTTGCTAATATTTTCATGTTTATCAAACTTTCTTTTCTCAGTTTTATGTTTAAAAATTGATTCAATAAAAGCCTTCATAAGATATAATACATTTTATTTACATTCTAAAATGATGTATCACTTTGACAGCCCTGTACAATTATTTATATTTTCCTTGATTAATCAGTATATTTAGCGATCAATTTCTCCAAAAACTACATCAAGTGTACCTAAAAGAAAAGAAAAAATTAGCGATTGTCACCATTATATGGCAAAGGAAAACCAAATACCCACCAATAATTGCAACAATGTCTGCCAACATCAAATTCTTTCCCAATTTATCAATGGCTGCAAGATGGGCAAAGCCAGGAGCCTTGATCTTACACCGGTATGGTTTTGAACTTCCATCAGAAATCAGATAAACACCAAATTCACCTGAAAAAAACAAAAAAAAACAATTTTTGAATGCTCTACAAAATTTAAAAATTCCATCAACTCTCTTATTCAAGATTCTCACCTTTAGGAGCTTCAATAGCAGTATATGTGCAACCAGGAGGAACACTGTAACCTTGGGTGAAGAGCTTGAAATGATGAATCAGAGCTTCCATTGATGTCTAGAAAGAAGTGAATTTGTAGATGAGTAGATTTCAAACAAGCCAAAGAGATTCAACCAAACAAAAGGTAAGACACCAACCTTCATCTCAGCTCTAGTTGGAGGAGCAACTTTGGCATCATCAGTTCTAACTTCGCCTGGTGGCATCTGGTTAAGACATTGCTCAATTATTCGAAGTGATTGCCTCATTTCCTCCATTCGGATAAGATACCTAAAGAGTGCAGAAAAGCAAAGAATGGTTTATAATACCATATCACATTATAATAAAAATTTACAGTCATGTTTCACTATCCTATATACCATGATTACCTGTCATAACAGTCTCCATTAACTCCAACTGGTACATCAAATTCTACAAGGTCATATGCATCATAGGGTTGGGACTTTCGTAAATCCCACTTGACGCCAGAGCCACGCAGCATAACTCCACTGAAACAATAAAAATTAATAACAAACATTCATCTACCACCCACATTTATGAAAGCATTTCACACTCCAAATAAGTGACATTCACCTGAATCCGTAATTAAGAGCATCTTCAGCACTGATTACACCAATGTCTATTGTTCGAGCCGTCCAAATTGGATTATTGGTTAAAAGATCATCAACTTCATCAAGACGCTCACCAAACTTTGAAGCAAACTCGTAAATATCCTCCATCAGACCCAATGGCATATCCTTTCAACAAAGAGTCAAACAATAAAAATACATAGATATTGATGGCATGAGCAATAATTCTGAAAGAGTGGTATAAAAGAACCCACCAATGCAACACCTCCAGGCCTGACATAAGCAGCGTGCATTCGAGCTCCTGACACTCTCTCGTAGAATTCCATCATCTTTTCTCGTTCCTCAAAAAGCCAGAAAAAAGGAGTAATGGCTCCCACATCAAGGGCGTGAGTACCAACACCCATTATGTGGTTTAAGATCCGAGTAATTTCAGCAAAAAGGACTAAAAATGTTAAAACATTTATCATGAGGATAGGTACTTTACTAATAATATACTTTCAAATTTAACAAAATTACTTTACCTCTGATGTACTTGGCTCGCAGAGGAACTTCAATATTTAAGAGTTTTTCCACAGCAAGAGAATAGCATTGCTCATTGCACATCATGGAGACATAATCTAATCGATCGAAGTAAGGGAGAGCTTGGGTATAGGTTTTGTATTCAATAAGTTTCTCTGTACCGCGATGAAGGAGACCAATGTGGGGATCTGCTCGAATTACCACCTGGAAAAAAAATATGTTAAGATAAGAGAAATAAAAACAATATTTTACACATAAAGTACTCAGGTTAGCTAGAATACCTCTCCATCAAGCTCCAAGACAAGTCGTAGCACTCCATGAGCAGCAGGATGCTGAGGACCAAAGTTAAGCATGGCATTGCGGACCTTCCTCTCAATAGGAACAGGCAAACGATGGTTTGGTGGTAAAAGGGACCAGTACTCCTTGGCTGCACCTTCCCAGGGTCCTTCAAACTGCCTTATATATCTGGGGTCTGGCATCCACTTGGCAGCATTCCTCTTCTGAGTGTCATTGCTTTAACACAAAATATTATGTTCAGTTGTTATTAATACTCATTCCTTCTCAACTTGGTGGGACTCAACATAATCCCAAAATAAGAATACAGATTAATAATGAGAATTTAAAAGAAAATAAATTTAAAGTAAAAGATTAAAACAATATTTTCACTTTTAAGGATTACATATAAGGTTTTCAGTCTAGAGGATACAGGGCACCAAACTGAACTTCAGGTTATGTAAGGTCAGTCTTGCACAAGGTAAAGTGGCAAACAAAAATTTTACGTAAAGAATCACAAGTAAATCAAAAAAATATAATAAAGATTTAAAATATTAAATTTTCTAGATCGATATAAGTACAATAAGGATTTTCATAAAACTTTGAAGTCGAAGATGGCTATTAAGGTGACAAGTGTCAGCTGTGAATCATTATAAACAGGAATGATTTGAGTTCATACCAATACTTTCCACTTACTTTGCGTAGTATAATGATCCTCCATTCTTCAAAAATATCTTCCCACCCTGAAATTTTGCAGGAATTTGACGGAAAGCAGAGCTTAACACGACCGCCATGTTTGCTAAGCCGTGGTGTACTGCTACTCGATTTTGTGGAGGGGGAGGGAGCGGGGAAGGAGAAGGAGGGGGGAGGGGAGAAAGGGGTAAGTTTGGTACAAGTTATCCAACACTCCCAACACAAAGTTTAGGCCTACTGATTGAGTAACCGTCCGTCCGTTGTCGCCCTCTAAGAATTGAAGGCATATGCAAAGACTCACTTATTGTTTTCCAAAAAGAAAAGTGTCATAATGAAATAACAAAAGTACAACCAGATTAGCAGTTGGCAATTTAATTCTCGGATGTATTGGCGCGGTTTTGCGGAGAACTTGAAAAAGCAAAAAGCTCTTCCCTGTCATTGCTTTTTTTTTAAATTATTAAATTATAAAAAGGCCTGCTTGCGTCGATGTTTTGTTGAAAAGGAAGAGAAACACGTAATGCACATATGTCAAATTATTTATTCCCCCAAAATTTTGCACGGACTGATATCAGTACGGATGTGGTTGATCAAGTCGCCGACGTCCCCTTTGACTGCTCGCTGGCTACCGATTCCGACTGGTTGAGGACGGCCGCTGCCTTCCCCGGGGTCAGGATAGGGTACTGAACTAGCATCATCATGTACGTCACAGTGTTGCCCATGACCTGCAAAAGAACACCGAAAAACAAATTAACAAGCATTTGGCGGGGG